TTGTGTCACGGGAAATAGTCACCCCAGTTTGGCTTTCTACTTCTTTAGATAACTGCAGTGAACTTGCATGCCGATTTTCTTCAACCCTTCTCATCAGAAGACGCTCCTGTCGAACTTCCGTGGACGACCTGGACGTCTCTGTGAGATGGTTGCAGTTCCATCTTTTTTAAATTTTTGTACCACTTTTGCTACAGTATTCTGACTGATAAGTAAAGCTTTGCTGATCTTCTTGTAGCCTTCACCTTTCTTGTGTAAAGAAATTATTTTCTTTCTCAGGTCTTGTGACATTTCTCTTCCATGTGGTGCCATTGCTGACAGCATGAAATGGGAAGGGGTTTTCTTTAAGTAACACCCTTTTATAGTCAACTGTCTGCTGGACACCTGTGTAATGAATAATTAGACTCACCTGTGGTTGTTAAATTAGACATTTGTATTCTAAAATTTAGCTTTGCTCCAGAGACTTTCAGTGGGGTGTACAGTGGGGTTATATTATTAACCTTACTTTCATGTTATAAGTTAAACAGATGTTATATAAAACTTAGTCTTGTCAACATTTTGGCAATTTGTGTTCATTGAGATATTGTTTAAAATGTTACTTTTCAAAGGGGGTGTACTCATTTACACTGAGCACTGTACTTGGGGTTAGGGCGGGGTATAGGAAAAATTCAGATCAGACTGTGAAAGAAAATCTCATAGGAGGGATGTTACAGCAACTACCCAGAACACCCTAACAACGCACTAATAACCACTCAGAACCCCCAAAACACCTCAACAACACCGTGTCAAACACTCAGAACACACAGCAACTATCTAGTAAGAACCTAGAAACATGGCAAACATTCAGTACACATTAACATCTACCTAGCAGTGCCTGACAACACCTTAGAAACGGGTTGAAAACTTCTCGGAACCTTAGCAACCACATATTGCCCTGGAAGCTACCCACAACACACAAGTTTGGAACAGAAAACACCGCTGACATTTTCTTAAAACAAATGTAGTTCCTCTCCTCATGCACAGGCTTGTTTGAACCAGTTCAGTGAAGCTTCACATCTAAAATCTTACCTCATTATATTGGATTTACTTTGAATCGCTACTTTCAATTGCCTATTTTTAAAACGGCTAAATTTATATGCATTTGGTCAGTTTAAATTACGAACCCTATAACTCTGTGCACATTCTACTAAAAGACTAATTAGACTGTGGCAGTGGTATCACCAGATGTTTTATTTTTTCATTTCTTCAGCCAGCCAAGACCACCTGAAACTATATCAAAAATCCACATGCTAACAGTTGTGATCACATAGTACCCAAGCCTTGAATTTTATGTATTTAGTAGTGCCATTAGGATTTGAATCAGGGCGGTGATGTTTTTGCCATTGCCCCACAGACTCCCCACAGTCCTTGGGCGTCTTTAGTAAAGAAGACAACAATCCCTTCTCTGATTGGCTTAGCGCTTCCTGCACCGTGGGAGTCAGGATTGCAAAAACCCACGCAGAGCTCACCTGCGGCCTCACCCTCGCTCACCATTAACCATCGTTAACCGCCATTAACCACCGTTGCGGCTCAGTGTTGCCAAGGCTGCATCTAATTTGCTTAGTGAGGTGTTAATTTGGCATGATCCGTGCTATTTCCAAGTCACTACAAGTTTCAGAGAGAATGTATCTCCACATAAGCAAAAGGCCAATTAATCATCTGATTGTGCTGTGGCTTAGGGAACATTTAGCAGCTGGTAACAGGAGCTTAGGAGATAGATCAGAACCTTTGCCTACTGTATGGAGAAATATGAAGCTAAGAAAAACTCAAAATTGTTCCTCCTCTGTGCAATTTCAGGGGTGCGCAGGTGCAGGCCAACAAGGTGGCAGCCGGGGTGAAGAAGTACGACCTGAGCAAGTGGAAGTACGCTGAGCTGCGAGACGCCATCAACACCTCCTGTGGTAAGAGCAATCAGTCCCCTCAATCTGATCGCAGAACTTCCTGCTCACCTGAAGCTGTTCATGTCAAAAAGCATGTCATTTTGGAGAGTGGAGACTGACATGTAATATTTTGGAAGATGGAGGGACTAGCATGTAACTTTTTGAAGATGGAAAACAAGCATGATGGAGATGGCGACAGCGCAGCGTTTTTGGAGTGACTGATTTTGTAGCTTGTTCTCAATCCATAATTAATTTATTTTGAAAGTTAATGCATTATATATTCTGTATTTTTATTTGCAGATTTGTTTATTTGTCTTTTATGGTTGTTGAACTATAAATCACAGAGACTTTACTCCCTTTTGTGCTTCACAGACTTTCTGGTCTGTCATGTTGGTTTCATTTTCAGTTGTCTTGACATATATATATATAATAATTTAAGAATAATTTACTCCAAAATGAAAATTATGTTATAATTACCTCACCCTTTTGTCAGTTCAAACCCATATGATTTTCTTTCTTCTGTGAAACAAAATCAGATGCTTGGCAGAATTTTCTGGCTGCTCCTTTCCACAGATCAAAAAAATAAATAAATACAGTGATTATGCAGTGAAATGTTCTTGAGGACTATATTTTAAGTTTTCTGAAATTATTTAGTGAAGTGAAGTGACTTGTGGCCAAGTATGGTGACCCATACTCGGAATTTGTGCTCTGCATTTAACCCATCTAAGTGCACACACACAGTAGTGAACACACACACACACACACACACACACACCCGGAGCAGTGGGCAGCCATATTGCTGCGGGGAGCAGTTGGGGGTTCAGTGCCTTGCTCAATGATCTCACCTCAGTCGTGGTATTGAGGGTGGAAGAGAG